AGCACAAAAATCTTAATAACATATTACAAGTCAATTTTTGAATCATAAAAATGATCCTTTTTGAGTCTGCCAGGTAAAAAGAATTGAAGAAAAAAAAGAAAAAAAATGAGTATTACAAATTTATACCATTAAAAATGCAGGCAGGGTAATTTTAAGAGTTACTCAGCATGTGACCTTAATTTAAGATACCAAATTTTATATACAAATATTTATATAAATATCACAAAACTCATACCACATAACAGCATGCAAATAAAACAAAATTTAACACTACAGGTTCATTAATCAGGGAAAACAAGTTTGAATAAACTTATTGACAAGCAGTTTAAAGAAAAATTGGGAAAAAAAATGAAAACAAATTAAAAATTATAGTGATAAAAACAATCTCTCCTGCAGTGAAATATCTGTTTAATAATTTATAAAAATGTCATTAGTTTGTGTATTTTCAGGACCATTTATAGAGGATGTGTAAAATTTTGGCTCGATTTGTTTAAAGGATATCTTACAATTATCGAGGACCGAAATTTTGGCTGGTTTTAATAATGAAAAAAAAAACCCATCAAAAATCAAAAATTCATTTTAAAAATGTCATGCACGCACTAAATACTCCATAAATATTTACTACAAATATCACTATATATTGGCATCTGCTATAGGGACCATATCTCCAATGATACAGTGAAAGAAAGGATACGCTAGGCAATTGGGGAGTACGATGACCTACTGGTGACTGTGAAAAATCACAAACTACAATGGTACGGCCATGTAACAAGGAAACAAGGGCTTGCCAAAGAAATATTGCAGGGCACCCCAAGAGGAGGGAGAAGAAGAGGAAGACAAAGAAAAAGATGGGAGGATAACATCAAAGATTGGACAGGACTAACACTGGGCGATGCTGTGACAGAGACAAATGGAGGAGGATAGTTCACATGTCATCTGTGGCACCCCAACGGTCCAAGGACTAAGGGACATGATGATGATCACTATAAAAGTAAAACATCCCAGATGTGGCACAAGGATATCAAATGGTGAGAGCTCAACTCGAAGCACTGTAAGTAATAACATCTGTAATTTTTTGTCACTCAGCAACAAGCCAGTCATTCCAGGTTCAATTATTTGTTTGAGTGTATGTACTAAAGCAAAACCAGTCATCTTGCGACAAGACAAAAGCATCTGCCAGTACAACATAAATTTTATATTTTTAATCTTAAAAGACTAGAATGGAACTATCTTCAGTTAATACGTGTCCACAAAATTTTCATATAATAAAAAAAACAAAAAAAAACCCTGAAAATTAAAGATTTCTTAAACCAAATAATGAATTATTGGGAGCATATAGAATAAATAAATACCATAGCCTTTCTCTTTGTTAAGAATAAATACGACTTACTTCAGTCAACTATCTGATCTGTTGATTATGATTTGGGCTAAGACTCTTGATTGATTTCTGTAGGTAAATGTGGCAGATTAAAAAAGTTAATCATTAATTGCTTCGGGACCCTTATATTTATAAACAGCACAAAAAAGAAGTCCAAGTCTTTCATCAGTGCTTTTTCCCATACTGGCCCTAAAGAGAAAAGGTAATGCTAGACTAAAACTGGCACTCCAGAGAGTCTTGTCATTTTAGACTACAACTGGCACTTCAGAGACTCGGCCGCATCACTCTAAAATCTAAAACTGGGCACCACAGAGACTTAGTTATGTTAGACTATACTACATAGCCGGTGCTGCCAAGTCCTGCTGAGTAATTTTCATCCAAAGTTGGAAAGGATTATTGTGTCAGGCTTTGTCGACTGCTGTCATCCCCCAAATCAATGGTATTTAAATTTCAACTCAGTCTTCACATTATACTTAGAGGTAGTGTTATTCTGATCAAGTTCATCTTTGTACAAATATTACAAAATAGATTGAGTTTTAGCCAGGAAAATTATGGTAATAACAAAAATGATGGCAAGAAAACCCCCCCCCCCCAAAAAAAAAACCAAAAGTTTGAAAAAAAAATGAAAAGGAGGTTAATATGATTACAGAAATAACTCCACAGAGGCATGTCCCAAAAACTGAATTGGAAAGAAACAAAGACCGAATAAAAAAAATTAAAAAAATAACAAAATAGATTGAGTTTTAGCCAGAAAAATTATGGAAAAAACAAAAATGATGGCAAGAAAACCCCCCCCCCCCAAAAAAAAAACCAACAGTTTGTACAAATAATGACAATGACGTTAATATGATTACAGAAATAACTCCACAGAGGCATGTCACAAAATCTGAATTGGGTAGAAACAATGACCGACTAAATAAACGGATAGTGATGGACAGAGGTGGTGTGTTTCTTTGCTGTTGCCTCAAGTGCACGAGTCTGCGTACGAGGACCCAATGAATGAATGAGTTAAACTGAAATGAAAGCTTAAAATGACTACTTATAAAAAAAATGCAGAAGATTACATATCTACAACAGGGCTGACATGGTTCTAAACAAGGAATATTTGACATGGGGAAATAGAAGTTTTGTAAGACTTAGCAATGTCAAGTCAATAAAAAATCAGGCTCAGTAAACAAAACATGGTTTACATCTTTATAGTTAAAACAACTTGGAAGTGCTCAGCACTGACATATGAGGATAACTCTGCCATCCTGCATTAAGCGCTTCCATCCCCTTGGGAGGTCCATCTTTCTTTGGTGTCAGCTTTGTTTTTATCAAGAAGATCAGGTCCAGCGAGGAGCGGCCCTGTTTCCGCTACGGGTGAGTTGTCATCCACAAAAATGGAAGGGTCAATGTTGAATGATGTGGTCGAGGCCAAGGACAGCGAGGATGTTGAGAGCGGGGATGATAAGTAGGATGAAGATGATAGACGGTTGGGGGAAGACAGCCTGTCCTGTCCGATATCAAAGGAGATGACATCTGAAAACATAACATCCATGGCTATAGATGAAGGCCGAAACAACGGAGTTGATGATATGGTCTCGTCTGGTGGGGTCTTCAAACTTCCATTACCACTGGCGTGTTTTAAGTTACCCAGAGCTAGATGCTCTTTGGTGGTCTCTTTCTCCACAGACAACCGTGTGGAAAGCTTTTCTTTGTCTCTCGGAGACAATGATCTTTCTTTTGGGCTTCTGGGAGATTCAGAGTATTCATGCTGGTTGTCGTCAAGATGCTTGTTGTACTCAAAGTCCTTGAGGAACTCTTCTCTGTTTTCCTGAGGAGTCGAGAAACCAGAATCACTGGCTTGTTTTGGGCCGCCTTTTCCTCTAGCAGGGGCGGATGACTTTGGGGAGAACTCATGAGACAGGAGCAGATCTCTCAGCTGTGAGGAGGAGCGTGTGACCGACTCCACACAGAGTGACATGCGGTCCTGGTTGCGCTTGATGGAGGTGGAGTAGACGAGGTCACGTACAGCTCGGCAGATCTGGATGTTGGCTGAGGCAATGCTCATTGATAAACCTTGAAGGGGATGAGATAAGTGGATCAGTGCATCACCAGGTACTGCTCATTAGTCACATAAATACTTCATGGTTATATGGGCTTTAAAAAAATTCAGTGTTGCCTGATTACTAGGGACAAAGCTGATGTGGATTAGCATGATGTGTAAGAAGCTGATGTGGATTAGCATGATGTGGATGAAGATGATGTGGATTAGCATGATGTGTACAAAGCTGATGTGGATTAGCATGATGTGGATGAAGCTGATGTGGATTAGCATGATGTGGATGAAGCTGATGTGGATTAGCATGATGTGAATGAAGATGATGTGGATTAGCATGATGTGTACAAAGCTGATGTGGATTAGCATGATGTGTATGAAGCTGATGTGGATTAGCATGATGTGTAAGAAGCTGATGTGGATTAGCATGATGTGTAAGAAGCTGATATGGATTAGCATGATGTGTAAGAAGCTGATGTGGATTAGCATGATGTGGATGAAGCTGATGTGGATTAGCATAATGTGGATGAAGCTGATGTGGATTAGCATGATGTGTACGAAGCTGATGTCAAAGCAAAGATGATAGCAAAGAAATCTTTTTTTTTGTTGAAAAATTCATATTTATTTTTTTTTTAAATGCAGAATTATAATTTAAAAAGTGCTTAATGTCTACACATTAAATGTGTCTCAATGAAGATTCTGACAACTTCAGAAGATGATTTACCTAAAATAGATTTATACATCTCGGTGGCCTCACTGGACAGAGATCCTGGGGTGCCGGTAAATGTCTCCTCGCTGGCAAAACAAAGTAAGGCGGCGCTGGCCGAAGTTACCGGGTCGCAGAATGCCACGACCCGCCTGAGGTGGGTCTCTGACGGTGACTGCTTGAAGCTCTTGATGCTGGACACAAGACAGCCTGTTGTGGACGTGATGGCCTTGACACACAGCTTGAACTGGTCCTAAACAAAATAAGAGGAGTCTTCATAGCTATTGAGCTTGTAGACAAGATGCCTTTAATAATATCAACAGAAGGGTATGTGACCTCAACAAATGTGTTTCCTTTAGGAAAAATAAATGGGACATAATATTACAAATTAATTTCTCAACCCACTCCTCCAAAAATAAATGTCGATAAAACTCCCACAAATACCTCAAATCGGGTCAGAACTCCATTTGGGATCAAGGATGTTGGGTTTTTTTTTATAAATAAAATAAAAAAAATTAAAAGTCATCGTTTAAATTTTTTTTTTTAATTAATTAAACAAAATTAATTAAATAATGTTTATTTATACAATAACCTCTCAATTATAATATATAAAATTAAACATCTGTCAGTTCTCACAAGTTCACTGCCACATCCATAGCTATCGTCGCCTAAGCCTAATGCACCCAATGTGTTGAGTTGCATGTGGCAAAATTAGGAGGGTGCTGACCATCATGTTATTCAGGAGCAGGTTAAAATGCCATCTTGGGTAATTTAAACTGTCGATCCCTGCAGCCATAATGAAGTGAACATACCACATATGTCCAATTCATAAGTATTAGAGGAGTGGATGAAGTGATGAATGGTGAATAACGTACCTGATCATTTGGGTCAGAAATTTTCTCAGCAGCATTCCGACAAATATCCGTCATTACTGTCAGAGATTTGGTCAAGGAACTGCAGAGGTCAACCTGGATCATGGAAGATTAGATTTAGATTTTTTTTTTCTTTTAAATTTTAATTTTCACAAAGAAGATTATTTTTGAATAAATCTGATCAGAATTATTGTTATTTTTAAGGCAGTGAGCTATGTGCACAGGCTGTGGAGCTCTGAACACAACTACTGTGTTCTTAAGGCCATGACCCATGTAAACAGCTTAATTGTAATATGAAATCATATAACACAATATAACACAATATGTGACCCGTTTTTCACATAACAGTCATGCAAAAATAACAGTACTTTAAACATCCCTTCTGTTTTCATTCGTTATCCATGATGCATATTTACATAACTCATTTTCTTCCTCCCAACTAAACATCTTCTAATAACTTACAAGTACATGAACTTTAGCATAAAAAAAATAACTTATCTTCACAATGCCAGTTTTTTTAAAGCAAACTCTGTAATCATCAAGGTGTAAAAAATCAAACAGCACAAAAGTTTTTTTGAATAGAAAATTAAAGTAAACTAATTTTAATTACAGTTGATCAACCAACCAGAACATGTGGGTGCAGGTCATTCATCTTTGAGCGTTTCATGCGAGTGCATGAGAACTTCACATCCAGGTCGGCCTGGGTCAGCTGGTGGACATTGGCCACTGGGCCGGGAATCGCCGGCTCTGACCCTGGTATGTTGATGGCTATGAGGTAGGCAATGTGGGCAGACAGCTCTGAGAGGTAAATCACCACAGTGGTCAGCTCTTGCACTCGTTGACAAAACTGCTTCCAGTGTATCTGCTTGCCATGTACCTGAAAATAAATATATAATTGATCCTGGTTAAATGTGTATTTAATAATTTAAGGCTCAAACCAAAAGGCAAACTATAAGAAAAATATAGATGCATTGTAATGTAACTGACACATATGAACATCATACATACATAATTATGTATATAATATAAAACTTTCATATATACATGTGTGATTTGAGACTATAAACTTATCAAGCTATAGAGAATGGATAAATTTTGTTTTCAGTTTCTCCCTTACCATTTTTAAAGTACAAAATATATTGCATGAATTTCAGTTATAATTTCAGATAGCACAGGGCCACCTAAGTAAGGAAACTTGTTGAAACATCTGTCAAAGGAAAGAGGTTACTAATCTGAATAACTATCACCGGAAGAACTGACTAATCTGAAAGAATATCAAAGAAAGAGTTCACTAATCTGAAAAATATCAAAGAATAAGTTCACTAATCTGAAAAATATCAAAAAATAAGTTCACTAATCTGAAACACTGTGAGGCACTTGCACTATGTATTCTTAAACAATAATCTGTGATATGAGAATTTCTATTTTAGTGTTAAGTGTGATCCTCAACTACATAAATCAGAAAATTTTCTGTAAATTTATTCATCCCTTTTAACAGGACGCACCTTTAGATCAACATAATCAGAGTTGTTGATCAAAGCATAAATATTTTCAAAGTACTGGCCAGACCATCAGTGTTTGATTTCAAAAGAGAAATTACCTGGGTGGCTATATCTCGTGATAAAATCATCATTTTGTTGAGCTGGCCAATCACCCGGTCACGATATTTGATAAATGTGTCCCCTGAGAGGGACAAATCATCAGGACGGGTGAAAACAGGCCTAGGTGTGCAGGAAATGAGAAGCAGCTCAGAGACAGTTTGGATTCGGGTGAGGGATTCATCAAAGACTAACACGATGCTTCTGGCATTATCATTCATCATAGTGTCTGGATGTGTCAACTATCTCTATATCCCAGTTATGATTCTGTATGGTGACATCTTTGTTTATATTGATGAGAACCTGGATATGGCAATTAAAATAGTAATTAGAAAAATTATTTTTTAATATGGTACTATAAATGATAGCATACACATTAGTACATAAGGAAGTATCTTTTTTTACTTCTACTGACTGTGATATAGAGTATTATAGGTTAGCAGTGAATAGTATTGATAAAATTTTCATGTTTTACTGACGGGTTTTACTGGTGATCAAGTTTCCGCTGTACTGTGCCATTTAGTGAGCTTTAATATTCTGTTAATTTAATGTAGTGACATTGTTAAGATATGTCATGTTCACTAACCATACTAAAATTATTCTTAAATATAAAGTAATCAGACAAAAAAAATGTAAAGATCAAAGAATTCCAATGTTACAAAAACTACACCTGGTTATGTTTCAGATTTCCCTGTTTGTGCAGTGGTACTGAGACAGTGACTGTCAGAGTCAGTTGTCGTCGACTGGTTGTATTGTTTTGTATGTAGTAAATGTGTACGGTACATGATGATAAATATCACAAAGGAAGGATATAAAATGTGTTACAGATAGGTGAGAATATTAAAGAGAGTAGAGAGGCTGTTCAAAATTTTGTGTTAGTTGTATTAACACCTGAAAATGTCATTGCACTGGTAAAAATCAAGGTTTCACTAGATAGTAAAATGTGCAATTTCAGTATGGTTTATCAGTTTACATAATCAGCAGAGTTGCAAGACTTGAGAAAGTAATTAAATAACTTGTGTAATTATAGTGTAGATATTGCCTTTACACTGTTTAAGAACCCTGCAGTTTTGTACACAAACTTTTAATGTATCTGAATAAACATTTGTTGTTGAATGGTGCAACTGAACCCAGTTAAGCCAGTATTACCAGCATGTGTTGCTACACTGTTTACTATATTTACTATAATTATTTAGTAGTACTACTACTAGTAGCTTATTAAGCTAGACTTACGCAAGCATTATTCAGTACTTTCAATGGCCAATGGAGCTGTGACAACAAATGTCAAATTAATAGATCTGTCCTGGAACACCAATCCTTACCTTAACTTCTTCTTCTTTACTTTTTTTTTTTAACATTGAAATTGGACAAGTTGAAATCAATCTGAATCAACCATGTCTGAATACTGAATGGAAGTTATAAATTGCCTATGCCTATAGCCTATGCCTGTAGTTATAGTAACTGAATGATTTAGATTACTGTGTACTCATTAACATTTAATTAAGTCTAAGAACTATTAATAAGAAGAGAAAGACTAATAAGTCTTTTATTACTTAGACTTAGACCAAGAATGACTAAGACTAAGATTCTGAGATGTTGGCAATGCAAAACTTATACTCAATTGACATTTCATTGTGATTAGTAGTGTCTGATTAGTCACCCTCATTAGCTGGTAGTGGCAGTGAGTGGCGGATAAGTGACCAGTAGCACGAAAACTTAGAAAAGTCAACAAACTTGGATAGGTCTACTCTAAAGAAATAATATATTAGGCCCTAATTAAATTTAAAAGTACTAAAAGTAGCATACTTCTCCAGACTAGAATCCGCTTTGAAAGCCTTGTGCATAACCTGAAAACCATCGCTTTATCGGTGTTTATACCGAGACCAAAACATCAATAAACCATCTCATCATCTTATAGCAAAATCCTTTGTCAGATGTCTTGAAACAATAACGTCCTGGGCGGGGCTCGTTTTCTTTTTCATTTTCCAATCAGCTGTTTTGGAAGGTTACGAAACAAATGCTACACATTTATCGAGCAAACTTTACAGGAGGATTCATTACTTTTTACTTTCTATAAAATACGAAATAAAAAGGACAAAAACAATTATCGATTTATTTATTTATTTATTTTTTTTTTGAGATAAAATTCTAAGTTCATGTCAAGCTTTAAAAATAGCACTTTTAATTAATTAATGTTAAAAATCGATGCAAAGTTTTTTTTTCTATTTAGGCTAAGCTTTAGGGTTTTCCCTCTTCCTGTTTATGATAAGGGCCATCCATAAATGACGTCATGCTATTTTCGCCCCCCCCCCCTTTTCCATCTTTTTTTTTCAAATGACAATCGTCGCAATTTAGACACTTCATCACACATTGTCACAAATAGTGACTCGCCAATAGCTTAAATCACTGGCGTATTAAAGTGTGCAGGTGGTGGAGGCGATCCGCCCTATGGCTATGGGCATGGGGCGGCAAATTTGGGGAAGTGTGTGGTTTTCGCGGCTGAGAGGGGTGACAAACTCAAGTCGAAGTCTCTGTACGCAACTATTTTTAAGGCATACAATATGGCCTCTTCCATGATGAGAAAATTGGTGGTGGCTTTTAAGAAGAGCAATGGCGGGCTATTTTTTCTATATTTAATCGGCAGCTAATAAAAAAAAAAAAGTCATTTGTAGAGTGTGGGCTGCCAGCGACCTCTTCACTTCATGCAAGCAAATAGATGGTAGACCCTACCAATGATTTCATCATCTCCATTTCACATTTACTGTGGGTGACTTCTGGCCGAATATTACAGGGGTCGGGTGATGTATCACTGTCGCCCGTGCATAATGAGACGTTGACTTCAGCAGGCAACTGGATACAAATACCAGTAACCCCTCTAACAGGATGAACTCTATGGGGTTGTTAGTGGGGAAGACCCAGCTTTTTGTCAAAATATTTCCCAAGATCATGAATTTTTTTATTTTTTTTAAATCTTGGGATTAAATTCTACAAAAAAAAAAAAAAAAAAAAAAAAATAAATGTTGGCCCTGAATGGGGAAGTGAATTCTTGGGAAAATTCACAAGGTGTGGCAGCCCTGAGTTGGAGCAAACGAAGGGAGACAAATTTGCTATAATCTACAATCTGGTCATGCACAAAAAGTTTAAAAAGGTGTAGAGCTACCCGGATACGAGCCCATATCATAAATGCACAGCCGGCAACGTGACCAAAGGGTTTTTTAAATTTATTTTTTAGACCGGAAAACGTCACATCACATTTATTTAATGTTACTATTTTTAGACAATGTTTTCGTAAAATGTAGCTTCTATCCATGTATTTCCGCATAAACAGGCAGTTTCTTTCAGAAATTTTCCCCCAAAGGGGGGGGGGGGGGGGGGGGCGTTTAAAGTTTT